CCAGGAGGTTCCTGGAATGCATGGAACTTCCTTCTTCAGGTGATACACAACTTCCTTCTCCCAGTGACAGAGGAGCTGTCAAGGAGGGGTGCCATGCTGGACCTTGTTCTCCCCAACAGGGAGGGGCTGGTGGGGAATGTGAAGCTCAAGGGCAGCCTTGGCTGCAGTGACCATGGAACGGTGGTGTTTGAGATCCTTGAGGAGGTGAGGAGGGTGCGCAGCAAGCTCTCTACCCTGGGCTTCAGGAGAGGAGACTTTGGCCTCTCCAGGGAACTGATTGGCAGAATGAAGCCCTGGAGGGAAGAGGGGCCCAAGAAGGCTGTTGAGTATTCAAGGACCTTCTCCAGGCTCAGGAGTGATGCATCCCAATGAAGAGGAAGTTGGGTAAAAACTGTAGAAGGCCTGTGTGGATGAACAAGCAGCTCTTGGGCAAGCTGAGGTGCAAAAAGGAAGGCTACAGTGGGTGGAAGCAGGGACAGGGAGCCTGGGAGGATTACAGGGAAGTTGCCCAACAAGTCAGGGATCAGGTTAGGAAGGGTAAAGCCCAGACAGAATTAAACCTGGCCAGGGACATCAAGGCCAACAAGAAGGGCTTCTACAGGTATATAGGGGATAAAAGAAAGATCAGGGGAAATGTGGGCCCTCTGTGGAAGGAAACGGGAGAGCTGTTTTCCCAGAATACAGCCAAGGTGCTCAATGATTTTTTTGCTTCAGTCTTCACTGGCAAGGGCAGAAGCCATACACCCCGAGTCATGAAAGGCAAGGGCAGGGACTGGGAGAATGGAGAGCCACCCATGGTTAGAGAGGATCAGGTTTGAGAAGACCTGAGGAACTTGAGCATGCACAAGTCCATGGATCTGATGGAATACATCCCCAGATCCTGAAAGACCTAGCAGATGAGGTTCTTTGAAACCTCTGTCCATCATATTCAAGAAGTCATGGTGGTCTGGTGAAGCTCCCGCTGACTGGAAAAGGGGAAACATAACCCCCATCTTTAGAAAGGGGAAAAAAGAGGACCCAGGAAACTACAGGCCAGTCAGTCTCACCTCTGTGCCTGGCAAGGTCATGGAGCAGATCCTCCTAGAAGCCAGAAGACCTGAGGAACTTGAGCATGCACAAGTCCATGGATCTGATGGAATACATCCCCAGATCCTGAAAGACCTAGCAGATGAGGTTCTTTGAAACCTCTGTCCATCATATTCAAGAAGTCATGGTGGTCTGGTGAAGCTCCCGCTGACTGGAAAAGGGGAAACATAACCCCCATCTTTAAAATGGGATAAAGGGAGAATCCAGGGAACTACAGGCCAGTCATTCTCATCACTGTCCCTGGCAAGATCATGGAGCAGATCCATGGAAACCATGCTGAGGCACATGGAGAATGAGGTAGTGGTTGGTGACAGCCAACACGGCTTCACCAAGGGCAGATCGTGCCTGATGAGTATGGTGGCCTTCTATGATGGGGTCACAACCTTGGTGGATAGAGGATGAGCAACTGATGTCATCTATTTGGACCTCTGCAAAGCGTTTGACACCAACCCACACAACATCCTTGTCTCTAAATTGGAGAGACATGGATTTGACAGATGGACCCACTCGGTGGATAAAAAGCTGGATTGGTGGTTGCTTTCAGAGAGTGGTGGTCACTAGCTCGATGTCTGAGGGCAGAGCAGTGACGAGCGGTGTTCTTCAGGGGTCAGTGTTGGAACTGGTGCTGATTAACATTTTTGTCAATGAAATGGGTGGTGGGGTTGAGTGCACCCTCAGCAAGTTTGCCGACGACACCAAGCTGTGTGGTGGGGTCGACACGCTGGAGGGAAGGGATGCCATCCCGAGGGACCTGGACAGGCTGGAGAGGGGGGCCACTGCCAACCCCATGGAGTTCAACAAGGCCAAGTGCAAGGTCCTGCACCTGGGTGGGGACAATCCCAAGCACAAGGACAGGCTGGGTGGAGAGTGGATAGAGAGCAGCCCTGAGGAGAAGGACTTGGGGGTACTGGTGGATGAAAAGCTGGACGTGAGCTGTGCATGTGCGCTGGCAGCCCAGAAAGCCAACCGTATCCTGGGCTGTATCATTCTACACTACCTGTTCTTTCTGAACTGTCTGTTCTTATCTGCATTAATAGTTTGCCCCTGTGTGTAGTCCTAGCAAGTCTTACACTGATGATATGGTGTGAATTGAGTCGCATCCATATTTTTTCTTCTCCTGTTATTAGTAAATAGCCTGAGTGTCAGTGGCATCATTCCATTTGCCAGCCTCTTGTTTCTCCTACATTGTGGTCTCAACCCATCACTCCTCTTTCCTTATCCAAATTGCAGTTGTTTAAAGGTTGCAGTTGTTTAGATCTTCCTGTCTTATTGCTCGTAGTTCAAACCCTCTTCAGCAGGTTTGTAAGCTGTTTAGACAAGGATGCCCTCCCTTTCTCCTGTGAACTGAAGGTCACCTTTGCAGATTACTGCGATCTGCATTAACATTGTGGGTTGGTTTTTTGGGTTTTTTTTTTTTCCGGTTGAAAACATTTGAAAGTGGCATTGCGTATGCTTCTCTGATGTCTGATACAGGCAGTCTTGTAGAGGGAACTAAGATTTACAAATTATGCTGTAATTGCATCCAAAGCTGTTGAAATTTTTTGAACTTTATCTAACACAAGCTTTATTTCCTCTTCAATCATTAGTGTAATTTGAGGATCAGTAATACAAGATAAAGAATTTAGCCAAAGGCCTGTAAGGTATGATGGATGAGTTAATTATTTAATGGTTGGGGCATTTAGTCACTGCTAATTCAGACTTGTATGAACTAGAATTTTCTTGAACCTATGTCAGGGCAAGGTATAGTGAAACTTCTTGTTACTTCACTAGGATTTCCTGTAAAGAATGTGCAAGTGTTTATATATGTGTGTGTCTGAATGAGTTGAGTAGTGTGTAATTGCCCTAAATACTGCATGTTAACATCAGTCTTGCATATTTAGATGTGGCAAAAGTTTTTAAGCCTGTTTTTCTTAGATATTTGCCTTTAGGGTTCCAGGTTTGGAAATAGTGATCACATACAGTAAATTTTTAGTTTTAAAGTAAACGATTGTTTTTCTTTTCAGTTGTTCTGATTGGCTCATAAACATTTGCCGAAGAAAGAAAGAGCTGAAGGCTCGCACAGTGTGGCTTGGGTGTCCTGAAAAGTGTGAAGAAAAATACCCCAAAAATGCTATAAAAAATCAAAAATACAACATCTTTACCTTTATACCTGGGGTAAGACTAACTATTTTTTGATGTTGGGTTGACTATGTGTTCTATAATGCTTTCTGATGATTCTGCAAAAAGAAAATTTCATTTGCTCTGATTCTTTTTCTTTACGTTTATCTCCAAGTCTTCAATTAAAATTGACAATTGAGAGAAGGCTGCTTTTTTCTAAATTGTTTTGTTTTCAGACAGATATTTACTAAAGTGTAGTGTGAATGATGGAGTAGTTGGAGTTCAGTGAAGCTTTAGAAATTTGAAATGGATTTCTGTGCACTTTTCTGTTTATCCATAGAAATTTGTAATCCTCCCATTAAACCAGAAGCACTTTTACAAGAGTCAGTTGTGAAAATAGTGCAAAGCACTGACTTGAATTAAGAAATAAATAATTCAAAATCTATTCCTATAGTTATTTTTTCATACTCTTTGGTATTGAAAGTGTAATAAAAAATGTATTCTGAAACAGGCAACTCCTTAAAGGACGAAACAACTCTCAACCTCTTCAGTTTATATAGCAACAAGGCCTAGTTGTTGCTCTACAGTACATATGAACTAGTACCTTTCAGAGTTGTAATTCTTACTGCATTTTAAAAAATAGTGATGTCTTTTTTTGGTTTTGAGTACAGTTCTTCAGACAATACTTTTTTGTGGAGTGGAATTTTGTTACTTTCTTTTGAAGAAGCTATATTGCATCTTAATTTCAATCTTTTGCCTATAATATATCTTTTTCATATACACTGTGAATGTTAGTTTTTTGTCTAGTTCATACTTTTAAAATTGTTATTCTAATGCAGTGTAGCAATAGAGAATATAACTTCTGAAGCTTCAGTAGTTAAATCCCAATAATCTCACAGTAGTGTACATTTTTGATTTTACTAACACACTTTTACACATACTTTAATAATACCATCCAAGAGTCCTTTGTCCTGTTGCAAAAACTGAATTTTCTACATTTGAATAAAGACATGCTTAGTCTTAAAATTTTTATTTAAAAGACCATGCTGGTGTATAAGAGTATTGATGGTATTTTTCTGGCCTTTTTGGTTCAATGATTGGCAGATGCTTTCTGATACGTTTCTTTATTAAAACAAAACAAACAAAAGGCTTTGTAATTAGGACTGATCTCCTGTCAAGAAAATAAAATGTCACTTATCACAGATGGGTAAAATATTCTCATCTGTATTGAACAAAGTAAATGTTTTCTTCCAAAGTTTAAATTATTAAATACACTGAAATTGGTTAAGCCACATATGCTTTTTCTAAAGGTCACAAAATTCATTAAGCATATAGTAGGCCATTGATTATTGTGACTAGAAATCTGCACTGTAGATTACAAATCTTAAACTAGATTTGTGTTTCCTATAGGGACCAGCCATAGCCTGTAATTACCTGTTGAGAGAGAGAGAATGTTTGTTCTCTTTTGAGATTTTGAAAATCTTGGGCTTTATGGTATAGGCAGAAGATGCTTTTTATTTTGGTGGTAGTAGTTTCAAACTCAGTTGTAAAGTACTGAGGTCCTGAACGTAAAGCCCCAGTAGTTGGTGAAAATAAAATGTTTCAACATTTTAATTTTCAACATAAATTTACACTTTTCATTGATTAGAAATATTGCATAGTCATCTGGTGTTTTTATGCTGTTCCACTAGAGGTAATTTGTAGGGAACATAGTTACATTTATAGGTTTAGAACTAATACAACTAAGTCATAAATACTGACTCAAATGGTTTACCCTGGTTGACATTTTAGTCATGTGAAGTTTTGTCTTCTGTTTAGAGTTAATTTTGGTTTTAATTGGTTGCAACTGACAGTGGGTAATATATCAAAATACAAGCTTAAAATAATGTTTAGATTAACAGAATTTTACTTACTGCCTGCAAGAGCTGTAACATTTCCAAAATATGATCTAATTTCCGAACACTTATATAAAATGCTTACTGTTTCTACCTTTTGTAACAGTTTGTTCAATTTCTGTTTACTTTTTTTTCTGTATCTTGGTACAGCTACTTTTTGTGTGAATTTCCTTAAAGTATATCCTCTATGATGGGCAGGTTTTTAAGATACGTCTCATGAACTTCAAAGCAGTAGTCTATTTTTTTTATCAGTTTTGTGTAACTGGATACTTTTCAATTTACTTAACTAGACTAATGTGTTCAGCTTTGTATTGAAGGACTGTCAGTAGTCTGCCAGGATTCAAAACATTTGTAGGAAGACAGAATCATAGAGTCACAGAATGATTTGGGCTGGAAGGGATCTTCAAGACCATCCAGTTCCAACCCCCCTGCCATGGGCAGGGACACCTTCCACTAGACCAGGTTGCTCCAAGCCTCATCCAGCCTGGCCTTGAACACTTCCAGGGATGGGGCATCCACAGCTTCTCTGGGCAACCTGCTCCAGTGCCTCACCACCCTCTTTCCCCTGCTAGATGGGTGCTCTTGCAGATCTGCACCTCCCGAAGTACTTGATGGACTTTTCTTTGACCTGGTATATCAGGTCTCTGAAACAGTTAAACATACTGCTGGAAATGAGTATAGGAACTTCATCACCATTAACGTAAGATACGGGTTGAAGCTGAATCGTTTTCATTTTTGAAGAATGCTCTGACTCACCCTTCAACTTCAAACTTGACTTTTTTGGCTTTACAGTTTTATTGGTAAATAGCTAAAGATAATTCCATGCTTTTGAGAGGGGAAAAAAACCCCAAAACAACCAAAGTTCTGATTAGAGTTTGTTTAGGTAGACTTCAGCTGAACAGTAATGTAGCACTCTTGCAAGAAACAAAATTTTGAAGTACTGTTGCTTTGTTGTACCTTGCAGAAAGACACTTTGAAACAAACTTCCATGAGTGGTTGTTTTTTTCTAGGGCTTAGGTTTTTGCATAATTGAGTAATATAGTTGGACTGATAAGAGTAATAAATATCTATACAGTAATTTTGATCTTCATGCAGAAGTCATCATGATATTAACTGAATTGTAAGACTAAAAGGTGGAGACATTTGTTAAATGTTGCTTTTTGATCTGTTTTGAATCTTTTAGCTTTGAAACAATTGATTATCAATTTAGTCAAGTCTCAGGGTTCCAAGTTCAGTAGGCACTTCTGATCATCCTGCTGGAGGTGTCGTGTTATCCTGGTCTACTGAAGAAATTTATGAAGTGTTTGAGGATTCAAAGTTCTGCAACATGAACAATGTTCTTAGCATTGTAATTGTAACCAAAGCAGTGATGAGAACATGTGCTTGCTGAAGTGGTGCTTTTAATTACCGAAGGAATCTCTGCATCTCTCATTGCTTTGCAATATGGGACGATGTATTCTGTGATCAGATTACTGTGTCTTCACTTAAAACGTGAACGATTATCTTGGAGTTTAGACCAAATCTTTGATTTATTAATAAATATCTTGCGTACCAATATTTATTACAAAATAATCTTTTGGGAAATATAATGCTGAACATTTCTTCTATATTACCTCAAAAGCCCATGTTATGGGCTAGTGGGTGTTTTTGTAGCTTCAACTTTCTACAAAATCAACCACAGTTTAAGTTTTACAAAGCTTTCTTGCCATGGAAACTGAAGAATACTGCCTTACTCTGAGATTTCCATGATAGCCATTTGAAAGAGAGCAGTGTTGCCTACTCATTGGATATTTTCTGTGGTGTTTGCTTTATCTTCCTAAACAACATGTATTCTTGTACATTGAGTAGTTCTGCAGTTCTTAAAAGGAGTGAGAAACGGTAATTTTGAAGGTCTGTGTCTGACATGATGGTAGAATTTGTCCCTTTGAGAACCAAAGGACTTCATAGAGAAGGCAGATGAGTTGTAGAGCTTCCACCCCTGCAAGGGGAGAAACTTAAGTGGCTTTTAATACAAAAAGACATTGTGAGACAGATAAAACAGAATTTAAGTATTGGCACTTAAGGAAAAAATAAGATTTAATGCTGTATTTTTAGGAAGAAATGTTTCAGCAGTTAAAGATGAAAACTTCATGTAAGCAGTGAAAGTTCAGATACAAACTTATTTTGTGTTTTTATTGATACTATAAAAAAAATTCAAAAACTGTTTTGACTCAGTTAACTATTGTGGTTATAAAATTACTGCAGAATGCTTCTACAAACATCTGAATTCTGTTTACTGTTAAAATTTCAGCATAAATCCTTGCACAGTGATCTTGATATGTACTTAATATTTGTAAAGACTGAGTTCACTTAGTCCAGTTTTCAAAATATAAACAAAATTAGCAAGTGCTTTTCCATGGTGAAAAGCTGCATTACTATCAGGATTTTTCTCAGCAAAAATAGTGGTATAATATTAAAATAACTTACAGTGCACGCAGTGGTTTGATATGCAGGATGTTTTGCTCTATAGTAGTATAATAGTAACATATATAAGAGTGTGCCATATAATGGTTTTATATCAGTATCATGAGAAAGTGAATTTTATGTACATTAGGAGTACAGATTTTAAGGCATTTATCTATTTTGTGTTTTTCATTTTAGGTTTTGTATGAACAGTTCAAGTTTTTCTTGAATCTCTATTTTCTCGTCGTGTCCTGCTCACAGTTTGTACCAGCACTGAAAATAGGCTACCTGTACACGTACTGGGCTCCTCTGGTAAACAGAATAATACTATTAAATAGAAGTTTTGGGGTTTTTTTTAATTTCAGATGAAAAGTTTGTGTATATTTCCATTTCATAAAAATTTCATAAAATTGCATCTGTTAAATTGCTGTGATTAAAGTATGTAGCAGAAGTGAACTGCTTGTGTGAAATGACAGCTTTTTACAGCAGATACTCCAGAAGCTGTTGTCTCATAGGCCTCCTTTCCACCTGCCTACCACACTCCTGCCCCACAGGCTGGAGGTCGTTTTTGTTAACCAGCTAGTGTGAGTAGTTCTCCTTTCTGGCTGTTGAGTACTTGGGAGGTTTAATAACAAAATCAAACAAACAACACCAAACCACACAGCAGCTAGTAGAGAGCCTCATTTGGTAACGTAGGTAGATTGTGTTTTAAACTTCTTTCAGTTCATTGCTATCTGCTCACTATTTTAGGTTTACAGGCTAGGTTAGAATTGAAAGCATAAATTTTTTGTATTCCTTCTGTGTTGATTTTGATCACGTCATTTTTCACAAAAAATGAGATCAAATACGGTAGGCCATGGATAAACCAGGAGGAAAATGTCTTGAAAATAAGTTATTAATTAAGCATCCTTTTCTTAATTGATTGCCCTGTCAGTTGCACTTGCTTTCTTTCAATATGCATCATTTTCTGGGGCAACTGTTGAAACCAATGTCATCTGATTCAGGTGTGAAAATTGTATTCTCTTCAGAGCAGGTCATTTTGGTAGTCTGCCAGCTATATTCCCATGACCTGGAATGCTTTCCTGTTTTCTAATCTGATCATTACCATTCTTTCATGTTCCTCTCTCTTCTTCCACCTCAGGTTTAAAACCAAGGCAGGAAGAAAATGCTTTATTTTCTATATTTATTTTTTAAGAAGTGGTGGTTTTCAGTAATGTTTGTTCTCAGTGATATTCAGGAGGAACAGCGACATGCTGACTGCTTGAATAAAGGTCATTCTTAACAAGTCGATAGAGTAAATATTCTGGATTGATTTCATTGTTTTAATTGTTGCAACATTTGTCCTTTTAAGTGTTGATAAATGAAGAGAGTATCCTGGAGTTTCTTCACATCTCTATTTCCAGACAACTTTTGGCTTCTGCAGGAACAAAACCCACTTCCAACACAGAAAGCTTGTTCAACAGTGGGATTTGAAATGGATATTTGCAAAGGTCTTTGTCACTGACCCAGTAAGAAAAGACAGAAGTCAGCCTTGTCTGCAAGTTGGTCTCTTCACAGTGAAGTGCTGTGTATAGCTGTATACATTACTGGTCTAGTAAGGAAAAAAAAAAATCACTTCTCTCAGCCCATCTCATACCTGATCAGCGAGGGGAGAAAATACAATATTTTGCAAACACCAGTTCAGTATAGACGTGTTTGTCTTAATGAAGGATATTTTGAATGATGTTTCCCAGCTTTCGCATACACCTTGAAAATACTTCATCTCAGTCGTGCTAGTGGTACCCTTTTTTGCTAAACTTGCTTTCTTTTACTTGAAGAGCTTTTCTACTATTGATTAGCCTCCGGATAAAAGAGATTAATTGGATGTTGAGTAAAGCTCAGTATGGATGATGAAAACATAAAATATTTAACTTAGACCCATTAGCCTGTCTTTGTTGCTTAACATAAGTCTGATATTCTTTGAAGAGCATGTAACTGCTGATAAATTTTCAGTAATAATCAGAGGACTATGACTTGGCTTTTATTTTCTCTCAAGATTTTAAAGGAAAATAAAAATTGTTCAATCTGATACTTAAAACCAACTGAATGGAAGTTGACTATGTGCTAAAAAGTTTGTTGTTTTTTAGTGCTTTGTGGGATTTTTTTGTTGTTGTTTTGGAATTTTTTTTTTGCTTGTTTTTCAGTTAAACAGCTTTTACAACAGAGAGACATAAGATTATAGAATGATTTAAGTTGGAAGGGACCTTCAAGACC